CTTCATGTTTCTACGAGGAACCGACGGCAAGGGACTCGTCTCTGATATCACGTGGTCTACCTTTGAGGAGCTTTCAGAGAGAACCATCAGGTTGATCAAGAATTTCTTGAATATTGATGCAGAACCCTGTAGCTTAAACGATATGATTGGATAAGTGTTCGGATTTACGTATCATATCTGTACGGGAACTAGATGTACCGGCGGAATATTTTAAGTCTCTAGCCTCAGAGTGGAGAGGTGCTATTTATTATGACCAGTTACAATGTAACTTAACAACATCGGAGACGTGCCAAGCCACTCAAAACGCAAGATAAGTCTTGCTTTCAACCAATCCAAGAGCAGCTGTCTTACACGTCTCAATCAAGCTTTTTTGACCATCGGCAAACTTTCCCTGTGACCCTGGCACTTTTGGATGTTGTGCCATCGGTTAACTTTAGTTCCAAATTTTGAACATGTTTACGCCAATTTCACCAAACAGGCATTTTGTCTTGTCCAAAATAAAACCCACCAATTACGCAAAATTAAAGTAAATACACTCAACGCGATGCAATGGGCACCGCTATTTTATAATAAACTTTTAGCATATTTCGCTTTAAGAGTGTGCCAAACGTTTTCCGATATTACTCACATCATCACTTCCAGAAAACAATACTAGCTGTTATCTTATTGGGCAATAGAAAGGTTGCCTGAACGTGACCCTTAATTGAATGGCGTTACATGTATATATACATTGTAGATGCATAAAGGAACCTCTGCTGTCAGATTCTTAGTTCAGATCGGTATCCGTGCTTTGTGTACTTTCCAAATATATCTATAGTCTAAGTTGTCCGATCTTTTATTCCGCTACAGCCGAAGATGGTAGATGGTTCCAAAGACATTAACAGTAATTTACTTGATTGAATATTAAAGAATAAATGAAAAGCTATTCTTGGCATGTTTTGCATATATCCAACGTTCATTTTGCAGCATAAAACTAGAGCGTTACCAATATGTAGTCGAAGCGGAGAAGTAGCACCAGGAGGACAATTGTATGTTTTACTGTACCACACAGAAGTGTCAATCAGACAGTAAAAGGGAGTTTCTATAATTACTCCTGTGTCTTTTCTTTATTCGACAAAGAAGTACAGCATTTGTCGTAGTTGGTACAATGCAAAACTTCTTTCCAACTTTATTTCGTCTTTGCCGTTGATACTCTTGTAGGCGTGCTTTTTCTGGATGAAAGCAGAGGAGACATGTTTTCGTCGGCTACTTTTGCAATAAGCCACGTCCTACTGCCGATATATGGCACTCTCTAAAGTAATGTATGCTGTCTGTTATATGTAATTTGTTTATGTTTGCACCAGTAGATTTATTTATTTTGTGCTAGTTCCATATATTAGTATTGATTGCGTATTTGCTTTTCGATTTTGGATCTGATTGAATTGTGATGCCCCCAAGTATGTACACTGCAAAATGTAAAAGTACAGTAATATTGTTTTGACATCGTATTCTATGTCCTCGTCCGTCGATTCTTTCTCTCAGTCTTGTGCAAGATATTTAGGCCAACGTATTTAGATATTTTGTATATACTCGTCATTAACGCATGCAAATAAACTCTAGTTTACGTGCATGTATCACACGAACCTGCTGGGGTCCTTATAACACGGCTATCTCCATGTAAAAGTTGCGAGGCAAGTTATGTAAAACTACTAGTAGTACAAATAAATGCCGCTGTAAACGATCAGATATGTATTTGTTTTTGACGTGCAATATATCAGATATAATTTAATTGTCCCATTGGCTGTCCGTATAGTGTGATAAACATGGCTATATTTAAATTTAATCTACATGTATTTATTTGATTATAGAATTAAAATCGCAATTTATTTCATATATTCAGAATATAGTTGTACATGTGGTATGCAATGATTTTCTACAAATAAATATTCCATTTGTAGCTTCAACATGAAGTATAAATCGCGCCGGTATTAGACTACGTGCATTCGTATCGGTACATGTCTATCTTTAGTCCGAATTATTCTGCAAATGATTCTTCTTTTTTTACTGAGCACCAGTCAGGGTTCAGATGTGGTGATTTTGCTATAAATCAACTCTTGAATATCACAAACTACATTAGTAAAGCTTTAGATTGTGGGAAGGAGGCACAGGTTGTTTTTCTAGATATCAGTAAAGCGTTTGATCGCGTGTGGCACAAGAGTCTCCTCTATAAATTAAATAAAGCAGGTATTACGGGAACGCTCCTAGGGTGGTTCAAAAGTTACTTCAACGAGATGTGGTAAATGGAAAATTTTCAAAAGTGTTCCTCCGGGTTCTATATTAGGGCCTTTATTGTTTTTAATATTTATAAATGATATAATTTCGGACGTTAGCAGTATTATTAAATTATTCGCTGATGACACTACTCTTTATCTCGTTATAGACAACGCAATTAATTCAGCCAATATTATAAATAATGATCTTTTTAAAATTCATACATGGGCCACTCAATGGTTAATTACGTTTAATACAAATAAAACAGTCATTATTAGTCAGTTAGAAAGTTTCAAAATGTAATCTTCCGCAACTAAGTATGGACAATACGAATATAAAACAAGCTATAACACACAAACATCCAGGTTTCAACTCTAACTTAGGTTGGACTAACTATGCAGACTGTATTATTTCGAAAGTATCAAAAAGGCTAGCTGTGCTACGGAAACTTAAATTCCTTCTTGACCCAAGCACCTTAGAACGTATTCCGTCTTTGCGTATTGCATAGATATCTTCTCTTGTGAGCATGCAGGTATTGATTGTTAGGTCATTGGTTTGTGTGAGAAAGTTACGTCGTTTTCTCAAAAATTGATGACGTTGCTCTCACAAACAAATGACGTAACAATCAATACCTGCTCACAATATACAACTCTGCAATACGAAAAGACGGAATATATTTCTCCTATAGTATGCCTGTACTCGAATACACTGACGTTGTATGGGATTCTCTACCAACTTTCCATAATAATAAACTGGAATCAATCCACAAAGAATCAGCAAGGATAGTTACTGGAACAAAACAACTAGTAAGTATCGACTTATTATACAAAGACACATGTTGGGACACATAAGCAGAACGTAGGAAAAAACATAAGATAATCAAGCTTCATAACATTGCCCATACTCATATTCATTCTTCCTTTTTTAACATCCTCACAAGAAGAAACTCTGAAATACATAGCCCAAGAACTAGACAATCAAACCAATTATCTACCATCAAAACTAATACCAGTTCCTACATAAACTCTTCCTTCCAACCACTGTTCATCTGTGGAACAGCCTACCTTCCACCATTAGAGAAAATCCTTCTGTGGCTTTCCTAAAAAATATATTGATAGAGACAGAAACAAATCGCCAAGTTATCGTTCCTATGGAAACCGATTGTATGTTATACTATGTAATTATGAAACATGAGATGAATCTATCTTAGTCTATACCTATACCCTATAAATGTCTTGCTGTACTTAAACATGTCACTACCTCTGTATATTTATGTTCTTACTAAACACAGGATTAATTCTATATGTATGTGTTGTATGTAAACATCAATTCTCTATGCTCAGTCAAATATTACAATGTACTTACGTGATTACAATGTACTTACGTGACTACAATGTACTTACGTGATTACAATGTATTTACGTGATTACAATGTACATACGTGATTACAATGTACTCACGTGATTACAATGTATTTAGTGATTACAATGTACTTACGTGATTACAATGTACTCACGTGATTACAATGTACTTACGTGATTACAATGTATTTAGTGATTACAATGTACTTACAATGTACCTTACTAAATATAACATGAGATCCATTTACACTCGTCTATACCTATACTGTATACATGGCACATTGACAGTCATTGTATATCATTATATCATTATTGGTGTACGAATTAACGTTTACATTTGTATGTACTTATGAAAAACAGGATCAGTAGTCGGACAGTAACATTACTGTTTAACACCAGCATTCCTTGATCTGTATAACCACGATCACTCTACTTTATATATCTATGCCCCTCATTAATTAGGAAATGGTCTTACATAAGCTCTAAGCTTGTTACCAAATCTTCTTGCATACTTTTGATTTATTGTACTACCTTAATTATTCTTCAATAAATACTGTTCAAACTAAACTAATTGCAATTGGTCATTTTCTCACAACCCACTGTACCTGTATTACAAACCTTAAGTTAAAAAAAAGGACATAATATTTTCGAAAAGTATACCGACTCAATTCCAAAGCAACGTCTTTTATCACATGCAGCAACGTTTAACTAGTAATTACACTTTTCATTTTTTTGTCGAAACATTTCACAAAATCTTTTGATATATACTGCCCTCGTTTACACATACCTCTCCATTTACGGGACGAAAAGGAATATCACACTGAATAATAAAATTGTAATAATTGTAAAAAATAGAATTACTGCAAGCGTTGATCCAGGAATTTGATCTAGCTTGGTTGGCAGACGGACAGTTCCAGTGATTTTATGCATATGTATAAAAGGCGGAACTATAACAACATCTAGTTTGACTTTTACAAATAATTCCATCCACAATAAAAAAAATAATAAAGAATAGATATGCAGGTTAAGTTATACAATGTAGTAAAATCTACAGACGGGAGATAACTCATTCATCATATAGGGTGGTTGAATATTTTTTTTATTATCATTTGATTTCAGATTAAGATAATGATGCTGTGTTTCATGAAAACACCGTTTCTGATTTGCGTACGTTCATTAGATTTCTAGTTTACATACTTCGGCGTAGACAAAGAATCAATGACGTATACACTTCGAGTCTACTACATACATCAGAGAGAAAAGTTTTTCCAGTAACGATCTCATGTCAGCTTTACACTGGCCATATCATCATTGAGTGGGCTGTCAGGTAGGTAATGGCCATCACTGTGATAAACTACACCGTATATATATACGCTGTTCCACTACGATTTAGTAGAGCTCCAGGACTATGATCGACAGACGTCCATACGGCATTAAGAAAGCTGACTGATCTACAGCGATCGTCATCAGGCCTGGGAAAAGTTGTAGTGTATTTGTTGTCGATACAGCGATATTGTTACACTTCAGCGGTTTGGCGGTATGTACGTGTATATACAGTCGGTATACACATCGACACACCTGTCTCTCTGTGGGGACACACACGTACAGGAGCAGATACCCACACGGAAACCTACGTGAACGCACACACAGCTGTGCACTGCTTGTCGTCTTTACGGATACACGTGCGTATGCGGGTGCTCGCCCCTGTGACGGTACATACAGACTCATTCCGGTGTTCGTCTTCCAGACGGTACACACACACACACACATTCGCGCAGCTCTGTGGAATAACAGGTATGTGTTTTTATATGCACCCTTTTCAGAGATGTGTATGTGTGGTTGTATGATTGTGTGTAGGTGTGCGCGTGCCTGTCCCACACAACTGCAACCGATATCTGTGAGATTCTGTGAGTGCACTGTTCTGACGGAAGGTCTACAAGTACAGGATTCCGGTTGTTGTTGTAGAGTGTTACATTCATATATCCAAAACGGGAACACTCTATCCATCCAGCTTATTTTCAACTTTCAAACCCGCCCATCCCCGATCCAGATCAACCCCATCCCATTCTGGCACCGCTCCGTGTATCTATCAATACATAATACTTGGTCCGTTACAGTCTATATTTTAAGTGGTGCAACAAGCATAGCTATATTACATACCCGACAAACAAGTGTAAATATATACCCTCAATGATCGTATTTGGAGATGAAACGTTTTAAATATTTAAGCAGGCGGTTTTATCTGATCGTCGGCGAACAGGCCTATTCATCGCGTCAAATCAGGCGATAATAATTGTTAGTGTTTTCTTCAGACCGAACAATCTAACTTTGTATACCTGTTAGTACTAAAGAGACCTGGGAAATAAACACCGGTAATCACTACACATTTCCAATCAGTCGCGCGTGATTGAAATCGGACACAACTATTTATTAATTCGCTGACATCCGAGTGTCATCATTCACCAGAAGCGAATGAGAAGGAAATATATACAGAAGTTCTTTAGTGTTTCTTTTCCTTATTACCGATCGCGATCGGAACCCATGGCTGCACCAAGTCATACTGGAGTTTACACTACATATAAATAAATATCATTCCGCGCCCGCTTTTCCCCAAATTATTTTTTTCTCTCTCCTTTCAAAACATTATACGTGCGACTGATTGGAAACATGCTGTAGTATTTCTTTTCAGTCTGTGAATTACAAATTCTGACCAACGGGAACGTTGCTATATTTACGTAGGTATTTATACATGTATACATGTCGAACATCGATCTTTGTGTACGCTTGACGTGTGACAAATACGAGTGGCCTTCTCCTACATTAAGTACACGTGCTACATCGTCATATTGTTACAGACTATATTTCTGAGCCGTTTGGTGTACTTGCCAGAATTCTGTTAGTTGAAATCGGGTTCCCTACTTGATAATCCAGTCACAATGACAACCTAGATAGTCCCTACTTGATTATCAAGTCACAATGACAATCTAGATATAGTCCTTACTTGATAATCCAGTCACAATGACAACCTAGATAGTCCCTACTTGATTATCAAGTCGCAATGACAATCTAGATATAGTCCCTACTTGATTATCAAGTCGCAATGACAATCTAGATAGTCCCTACTTGATAATCCAGTCACAATGACAACCTAGATAGTCCCTACTTGATTATCAAGTCGCAATGACAATCTATATATAGTCGCTACTTGATTATCAAGTCGCAATGACAATCTATATATAGTCGCTACTTGATTATCAAGTCGCAATGACAATCTAGATATAGTCCCTACTTGATTATCAAGTCGCAATGACAATCTAGATATAGTCCTTACTTGATAATCCAGTCACAATGACAACCTAGATAGTCCCTACTTGATTATCAAGTCGCAATGACAATCTATATATAGTCGCTACTTGATTATCAAGTCGCAATGACAATCTATATATAGTCGCTACTTGATTATCAAGTCGCAATGACAATCTAGATATAGTCCCTACTAGATTATCAAGTCGCAATGACAATCTAGATAGTCCGTTCTTGATAATCCAGTCACAATGACAATCTAGATAGGCCCTACTTGATAATCCAGTCACAATGACAACCTAGATAGTCCCTACTTGATTATCAAGTCGCAATGACAATCTAGATATAGTCCCTACTTGATTATCAAGTCGCAATGACAATCTAGATATAGTCCCTACTTGATTATCAAGTCACAATGACAATCTAGATATAGTCCTTACTTGATAATCCAGTCACAATGACAACCTAGATAGTCCCTACTTGATACTCCAGTCACAATGGCAATCTAGATAGACCCTACTTGATAATCTAGTCACAATCCCAACCTATATAGTCACTACTTGATAATCCAGTCACAATGACAACCTAGATAGTCCCTACTTGATTATCAATTCACAATGACAATCTAGATATAGTCCTTACTTGATAATCCAGTCACAATGACAACCTAGATAGTCCCTACTGGATACTCCAGTCACAATGGCAATCTAGATAGTCCCTACTTGATAATCTAGTCACAAGCCCAACCTACATAGTCACTACTTGATAATCCAGTCACAATGACAATCTAGATGTAGTCCCTACTTGATAATCCAGTCACAATCCCAACCTAGATATAGTCCCTACTTGATAATCCAGTCACAATGACAATCTAGATAGTCCCTACTTGATAATCCAGTCACAATGGCAATCTAGATAGTCTCTACTTGATAATCCAGTCACATTCCCAACCTTAATAGTCCTTACTTGGATAATCCAGTCACAATAACAACTTAGATAGCCCCTACTTGATAATCCAGTCACAACGACATTCTAGATAGTCCCTACTTGATAATCCAGTCACAACGACATTCTAGATAGTCTCTACTTGATAATCCAGTCACAATCCCAACCCAGATAAACCCGACTTAACGATCCACTCACAATCCCAACCTAGATAATCCCGACTGAAAACCTTGCCATTAGCGATCTAGATAATCCTTAGTTAAAAAAAGCTCCCTATTATCCCTATTTGACGACCAGACACTCCCAACTTTAACAATCCCGACTTATATACGCAGAAACTCCTGGTTTAGATAATCCCGCTTTGAAACCCAAACACTTCCAATTTAGATAATCCCGACTTGATGACCCAGACATCAGACATCCAGACCAAGATCATCTTGACTGCCTGGCTATCGTTACGAAGACAAATTCGACACATAACCTCGACACAGGCAAATAATATGAAGATAATATTCGTTGATCTCCAACGTTCGTCCTGACTTGGTCAATATGCAATGTTAAGAACTTTGAGATCGGTGAAATCTTATAGGTCGGGAGTTTAGAAATTAGGGAAGCCTCACCGAACCTCGATATGAGCTGGATTACATCTAGCTTGGTATTCCGGTAGTTAAAGAAAGGAGACTTAGTTTCTTTGAAACTGATATTTTTTCGGATTAAGTTTCCTGGTACGGAATGTTTATTTTTGTAAACGTCATATCTAGCACACAAGCTGATCTGTTCTCAAGATTTGTTTGCCCACATTGTCGTTTGTACGCATCTGTGCGAACTACGAGATAAAATGTGCAGTTCACGTGTTATCATAATCGCTTCTTTGTTACAGGCATGTGTCTTTAAGTCAGGAACGAATCTGGCCAATCTCTGTTTCAACCTAAAAGTTTTTTGGGATTACGAACTTTTAATGTTTCCATATTCAACACGGAGGACCGAGGAATTATAAGGCACATTGGTTTCAGTGACGTACAGAAATTATTATCAGATGACAAAAATGAAACCACGGCGTCTTAAAAACTAAAAGGCTGGGTAGCTCGCGAAACAAGAAATTCGACCCAACGTAACACTACTAAAGCAAACGTCACATTTATGGCGGGATTAAATACTTTCAGTATAGTAAGAATGGTGTCGTTTTTTTTCTAATCCACAAAAGATGACATTTCCCTTTTCTTGTTTTTGACCTGAAAAGAACGGTCTGTGTGCCAAGACAACACTACACGCAATGTGTACTATAACACTACGGGGAGGCAATCTGCTAATATAAATATCTGCCAATATCTTGGGTATTTTTCAAGTAGTTCTAGAAAATACTGTTGTCACCTGCAGCCGTTAGGTACATACATGGTCCTACTCGTCGATCGTACGATGATCTTAGGATTTAATTACTCAAGATACATAGTTTTTAAGGATCCCTGTTCCATTCGATGTCTTTTTTTCCGTATACGCATTAACCCTCTCTATCCCCATCCCCACCCTACGTATACACAGTAACCCTTTCTATCCCCCATCCCCGCCCTACGTATACACATTAACCCTCTCTATCCCCATCCCCGCCCTACGTATACACAGTAACCCTTTCTATCCCCCATCCCCCCCATCCCCGCCCTACGTATACGCAGTAACCCTCTATATCCCCCATCCCCGCCCTACGTATACACAGTAACCCTATATCCCCCATCCCCGCCCTACGTATACACAGTAACCCTCTCTATCCCCCATCCCCGCCCTACGTATACACAGTAACCCTCTCTATCCCCCATCCCCGCCCTACGTATACACAGTAACCCTCTTTATCCCCCATCCCCGCCCCACGTATACACAGTAACCCTCTATATCCCCATACCCGCCCTACGTATACACAGTAACCCTCTCTATCCCCCATCCCCGCCCTACGTATACACAGTAACCCTCTCTATCCCCCATCCCCGCCCCACATATACACAGTAACCCTCTCTATCCCCCATCCCCGCCCCACGTATATACAGTAACCCTCTCTATCCCTCCATCCCCGCCCTTACTTCCGTTTAGATATAACTGTAGCACAATTGGGCCAGTACTAAAGTGACTCGTCAGTGTTCGAATTCAACTCTAGCCCCGCTGAACCTTTCCCAATCATAACACTGTACACTGTATTTTGTTAATATCATCTGTATGACCTCTCATAAAAAACCCATCAAGGTATGTTTTTTTTCCATAAATTGTTTTTTCAGAGAAATAGTCGTCATGCCGCAAAAAATACCAACAACTTAGTTACCTCGTTTGGGATTCTTAAATGGTACAAATTAGTCATTGTAATACAAAACAGTTTATTTTGTGTTGGGGTCTAACTTTTCAAAATGTTGTTCGGTCCTTCGAATGCTCTGTTTTCATTGGTTGTACACACATGATATTGTTGTCCTATAGGCTTATTCCGTCTTTGCGTATTGCAGAGTTATCTTCTCTTGGGAACAGGGATTGATTGTTACATCAATTGTTTGTGAGAGAAACGTCATCAATTTTTGAGAAAACGACGAAATTTTCTCACACAGACCAATGACGTAACAATCAATACCTGCTCCCAAGAAAAGATAACTCTGCAATACGCAAAGACGGAATAGGCTAATCTACCATTACGCAAAACAATAGATTTTCCTCCGTTCAGCATTCTCAAAATAATTGAAAATTATGTACAGATTCAAAACAAACATCCGAAAACAGGATAAACAAAAACGTCAATGGATTTGAAAAAAAATGGGGGAAAATCAAGACAAAACAAGATTATTAAAATTAATTATTTAACGTTATTATTAAATACAACATATTTATGAATTGATTCAAAATTACAAAACTTTCCGTGAATTGTAAGGAATTTTGAAGAGATGAATATATTATTTTGAAAAACTTGATTTATAACAAACCTGTTGGGCTATTAAAACTATGACCGATGAATGTGTAGGTGGGTACAATGGTCTTTCCACACGGCTCGCATTCCTATGGTACAAGTGTTCCGGTACCCCTCGGGGCTTATCATGCGTACAATTATTTATTAACTGACCTGTGGAGAATGCTGCTGACACATAAGGTATAAACTAAATCATTTTACATACATTATGTCAGGAAAGCGATGTATACAGTTTTATATAGCCTTTTGTTGTGGCTGTTAAACTCAGTCAGCCATGGATCATTATGATAAAAAGTATACACATCAGAGACCATGTAATAACAACAGTGAAAAAATATAGTATCGTATCTTGGGTTTCTGTTAACATTAATTCTACACACGAGACGCCTACGTTTAAATCAACCCCAAGGTTTCAAATACATGTATATATTTTAAAAAATACCCACGTGTCTAGTGTGTTTTTTTTTTTTTACAGAACAGTAGTAGATTAAACTGGTTAGTCCGATTACATCACATTTTCCTGTGCCCCTGCAAATGACTGAATAATACATATATTTTGTTTTCTCTTCGGTACGTCTTCCCCATTGATTGCATGCGTGTTTGAGGGAGTAGGTGTGATTTATATTAATTTGGCATATATCTTGTATCTTATAAACCGTGAGGCTTGGAAGTCAAACAGTCATCCAGCACACAGGGACCTGATCATTTGTTACAGCTATATTTGGACCTAAAGTAAGGTGTAATTTTACACGTTTAATGGGTTTATACCAACTGTCGTCATTGGGGGTGGCATTTTACAGAAAGTTGATCTAAACCACTAAAACGTGTATAATTACTCTGAACACCTTATATTTTGAGTCAAAATATAGCTGTAACGAATTATCAAGTCCCTGTGATCAAGCATATATATAGTTTATAATAAAAAGTACAACATAAATTTAAGTCCACTGTGATCTACATTTTCCGTTTTTATCTCCATCTCTTTCACAACCCGAGTGCTTTTCAGTATTTTCAGCAAAGCGAGTTCGGGGACAGGTGTGTGATTTACAAACATTTTCTATTTATATAGTAGTGTTCCTGTACTGTTCAGGACACTGACTTGAAAATCACATACCTCCTTACATGTACCAAGCCTGACATGAATATTCTTACAAACAACAGTTTACTTGTCGGGCCTTCATGGCTACCATTATACCTCTTTGTATTCTCTGTCAAAGCCTTTCAGTGGTTTGGCAGAGAACGTCTTAATTGTTTCGGTAACTCATTACCCGTTGTTACATCTATAAGTATGCAAACCCAACAGCGAGAATATATACCTGTACATACCCATATAGTACTGTAATATGTCTCGTTGGTACTCTCATACGGATATTGAGATGAGTTTAAACCACAGAGAATATTCATTTAAAATTATAGAAACGCACTCTTATTGTTATTTTTCATTTAAAAGCATAACTTAAATGTAGGTGTATTATGTACGTGTGCAACGTGTGTCATGTTTCTATATTATACGGCTAGCTAACAAGTTGTCATATGAAATAGAAATATGTACGGTGTTACATTCTCGCATTGGATTTTTCTTTGTATCATAACATGTATTTTTTGTTTAAAGTTTGTGTGTGACAATGAAGGGTTTTTATCTCTAAAGATATCACGTATGCTCATCAGGTCTTATCAAAGTGCACAAGTAGTTTTTTAAGATATTGTGAAAGTATAACTTGCTTATTCTATAGTCATTTATATTTAGGTGGTAGTTCTCATATCGTAAAGACCGATTCTGCTCCCTCACTTATGTCTTATTGCTGTTAGTACAAACACTACTACATATCCCCGTTGTATACAATGACACATGTATGTTGTATATGTACATTTAAGTAACGCGTCAAATTGACTCTTATCTAAATGTATATTCACATTTAAGCGCTGAAGATGGTTTTTTTTTTTTTTTTTTTTTTATCTAAATGTATATTCACATTTAAGCGCTGAAGATGTTTCTTTTTGTGTATTGTTTCACGGCCCATCGACAATGTACGTCCTTTAGGACCAACATTTCCACAACACTGTAAAAAGAGACGTTCGCGAAAATAAACACATAAAACCAAAACCTTATAGCTTAAAATATGTAAAGGGTTAAAGAAATACATCAATATCGAACAAATTGGCTGCACACATGCTTTCAGTTGGCATTCATAGACATTATGAATGCGAATTGGACAAAGGCTAATCAATGAGCGCTTCATGTTGGATTTGCCTTCGTACAGTTGGCATTCATATTGCTTTTGAATGCCGACTGAAAACATTTCAATACTTATCTTTATTATTATTGGAGTCGTGGGGAAGATTGGAGGAAATACAGGTCGGGAATGTTGATGCTGTATATATGTACTTGTATATCTTGTCATACTAACGTCTATGTTTGAGTACACTTCATCAGGAATCTGTATTCCCGGAAGACCGTCATTTAACGTGCGTGTAATTTGTGCAAAGATGTAGCAGAGAATGTGATATATTTCCTCATCAATTTCATGTTGTTAATAAAGACTCTACATGAAGCGCAGCTCGCGCACATGATCAGCATGGACCATAGAATGACTCATCAAATTAACTACAAGATTAATTAAGTGGTCCTACAAATTTGTAAACATGATCTTAACTAAGACATCAACATACTTCACAACCCGCATAATAAAACCCTAGGGGTCAGGAGTGAGTGTCTGTTGAATAGTTATTTCCGGACGATTCACTTTACTGTGAAAGCGATAGGTACCGTAGTTATTGTAAAGAACCTCTAAGAGATCTAGGATTTAATACGCATGCTTGAATTCAATGATTTCTGGACACAGTCAAACAGTTGAAACATTGACCCTATGTTAATTGATTTGACTCCAAATTAGCAGTAATTTGGTGTTTAATTTAAACATTTAATTGATAACTTTCTTGTGTAGATTTAAGGTAGTACACATCTGGTGTGTTTGAAATTATCATTTCCGTTTTCGTTTTCCCCGAAATTATTTAAGTTCAAGTCAATACCGAATTTAGATGAGATAAATGTCATTTGAACCACAGGGACCTGGGAATTCAGTTTCATTAGCCAAATCCGGATAGAGATTTCATTTATCTGGTATGTACACATTCTGCTTTGAAGAATTTTCTTGGATGTTAAACTAAAACCCTAGGCTTAATAGTTTTATATCACTCTTCAACAATCCAGGAAATGTTTTGAAAAGTATGTTGTGTCTTAGTGATCAGGTCCCTGTGCGTTTCGACTTATTAGTGTGTTGTATGGACCAGACGTCAGATGCAAGTTTATTTTACTGCTTGTGTGAATTTATCCATTATATGTACTCGTCAACATATTATTTATAAAGAGGAAGTGTAGAATGCATGTATACATTATCGGCTACAAGGAGACTACCTGTACTGCTTATTGTAAGCGCCATTCTCAAACGCGATGTAAACACGTGCTAAATCGTTTATGTAATGATGTGCTGTAGCCCTGTTATATTACATATTTTTGCAAAATGAACCTCATTTCTTTGCAGTAAACCAGCCAGTGACGAACCACCATGGGAAGTTTATTCTCTAAATGTAAAGATGGCGAAAGTGAGGATTTTGATGACTTGAACGCTCCGAAACCTGTACCTACTAGCCCAGCTCCTGTACCCGCACCAGACCCCAACCCACCTCCACGAGACCCCACCCCACCACCTCGGGACCCCACCCCACCACCACGAGACCCGACTCCTCCACCTCGGGACCCCACCCCACCTCCACGAGACCCTACCCCACCACCTCGGGACCCCACCCCACCACCACGAGACCCCACCCCACCACCACGAGACCCAACTCCTCCCCCGCCTACAGATTTGCCACCTTCACGTGATCCGACTCCACCTCCTACAGTTTTCCCTCCCCGGGACCCATCACCCCCTCCCACAGATATCCCCGTGACTCCTGGACTTCACTTCGGAACAGAGTACCAACCGACTCACTTGGATACATTCGAAGTTCATGTTGACTTCCGGTCTAAACCAACAAAGTTTGACGTAGATCGCCGCCCTTTCGTCTCCTCCGGGCTTTACGTTGATGACGAATTTCCACTGCACGTAGCACTTCCGAAAGGAGACCCGAACGGCAGAAATCTGGAATGGAAACGCCCAACGGTACGTATCGGTGTCTGGTAGTGACGATAAACAGTTCTTGACCTTGTCGTGACTGACCGGGTAAGTTGCGTCCATTTCGCTTGTTATTGTACTAATGGTATTCCGCTGTTAGTCAGGTTACATGTGATATTAACAGGAATTTACTATGTGTTTATTGTGTGACATTTAAAGGAATCTATTGATGTCTGTTAATACGATATAATATACATGTATATGATATTAACAGGGTTCTACTGTGTTTGTGTCTGTTTATGTGATATTATCAGGATCCAACTGTATATGTGTCTGTTTATGTGATATTATCAGGGTTCTACTGTATATGTGTCTGTTTATGTGATATTATCAGGATTCTACTGTATTTGTGTCTGTTTATGTGATATTA